GACCAAGGACAGTACACACGTCTAACAGATAGTTGTTACATTAACTTATATCGGGATTGTTTGTTCTACTTCTTTGACGCCCTAGAGAAAATACATAAAGTCGTTTTGTGATAATTAACTTCCCGACTTACCCCATTAACGGGAATGAATAATTTAGTCGAGCTGTATCCGAGGGCAAATATTCGCCCAGGGGAACTTTGTTCTCCTGCAAATTGTTTCTCTGATCTTGTGTTTTCCCCCCTCTTTTTTCATTTTTATGTGTGGTTATAGGTTCTTGTCCAGTATATCTACTGAGAATCTGTTGCCCCCTGCATTAGTAATCCTCTTCTTGTTCGTCATTATCGTGGTCGTCATTGTCGTCACCACCACGACAGCCATGTTCTTATTATTATTATTTCTGCTTCCAGATGTCTTCCTCCTGCTCTTTTCATTTGTGATCCTTTGATGCTTGTTCTTTCGTTCGTTCGTTGTCTTTTTCCCCACGCCTCTCCCATCCATCGTCCATAAAGCCACAGCTGTTGTTTCTTTTGCTACTTATTTCTTCTCCTCCACATCGTTCCCCTGCTTCTCTCTTTTGTCTTCTGTTTCTTCTTATCTTTCTCTGTTTGATGGGAGTTCCCCACACATAATAATGCGCTTCAGAGGTCTTTGTGTCCGACTTTAGTGTGCATTTATATATTTATATTTATTTAATGTAGAATGGTTTTATCCAGGGGTCATCTTTCTCCGATTTGCAAACGAACGCATTAGCATTACAATCTATCTGCTCTTTGCTATTTTCAAAAAAAATTTTAACGTGCGCCACGTGTACGCAGAGCTTTCATTTCTTTTCCCCATCCTTATCTATTTGCAGAAGCGGGTACTCTAAACGCCCACCTTTTCCCTGTAAGTCTGTGAATGCATAATTACATGTGAACTGCTTTCTGAGCCCGTGTCACATACCGCTCCTGTCACGTGCCTGATTTAAGGATTTCTCCTTAAGAACCAACAGCACTCTGAAATAATAATGTTAAGTCGTTGGCTCGTATTGGTCTAAGGGATATCCCGTGGCCAGTATACGCTCAACTTATTTCAGGAGTAGGGCAACTCAAGCTTTGGTACTACAAAATATATAATATTCATAGGCACACTTGGCTGGACACCCCCACTACTATAAAAAGGTAACCCCCAGGTTATGATAGTATACTATCATAACCATGTTAACACAGATTACACTTATTACTCACACAAACATAGAAGCTAGGCAGTTAGAATGGTGAAACAGGGACACCCAAGTCAGCCATGAACATTTCTGCATGTAATAAGTACATTATATATACATCAATGAATAGATCATCAAGAATGTTCAGTGAATGGAGATAGGAATCAATGACCCAACCCAGATGTTGAAGCAGCCAGATGTAGTTCTTGGATATTACATGAGTTCATTATTGGAATCACAAGGAGCTGTGGGAAGAGAGCATGATTGTAATTAATAGATCACTTATCCCAGTTCTTAGGTCCCTGCTCTCCTCAGTCCATGGTGAATTGACTGTGGATGACTCAATAGGTAGCTAGGCCTCGATTTGATATGGTACAGGCTGACTGTCTTACAGATGATGACACAGGAACTGCATAAGATCCCAACAAAGCTCTTGAAGACTGTGGTGCCCGTTGTCTGTCTCACTGGTGCGGACACAAGAACTGCATAAGAGCCCAACAAAGCTCTTGAAGACTGTTTCTCTGGATTGATGACATGAAAGTCTGCAATTGTCCACTAGTCCTGGAACTCACAAACAAGCTCTTGTCATGCTGAGGTAGTGGCAACAATATACAGGACTTTTGGGTGTACTTGGTGTCCAGAATGGTATGCGTTGGTGGTTGTTGGCTAGGCTGTGATTCGTCGGCCTGATCTCTAAGGAGGTATCATCCTGTCAGGAAAAAACTCAGAATTAGTAGTCAACGTTAATCACACACCAGCTCACCCCACCTCCGCTACCCTTCTCCATTTCTCAGAGTATAACTCTCAAAAACAGGAGACAATGTCTCCTTTCATTTATCTGTCTGTAAATTAGTACACCAGATAGAAGACAAGGTATATAGTGGAGATAGACACTACCACACATAGATCATCCTCTCTCCACCCCCACATCTGCACTCGCAGACATACAATGTACCCCGTTTGTACCTATATATATATATATATATATATATATATATATATATATATATATATATATATATATATATATATATATATATATATATATACTGCTACTACAAACCCGATATTTCCGTGCCAAACACACCTTTGACTCAGAGCGTCGAGCTTTGACGTCACAGTAGTTAACTGTTAAAAGATGACCCAGATTCCATATTTTCTGCTAGGAGGCACACAACTTCGTTTGTCTAGTCAGAGAATAATTACTTGTAGGGTTTAATATCTTTACAAATTGTGTGGGTTATGTAAAGCACAAACTGTTTAGTCTGCACAGGGAAAGGTTTAATGTTTGGAGCCTGATCTCTGGACATCAAGAACGGCCCAACTCTGTGCGATCACACAGCTGAATCTTCCCTCTCTGCATCAGTGGCCAACTTTAAAAAGACATCTATTATGGTACTCGCAAACTATAATCAACTTACCCAAGCTTGGGAATTCTTCAAATATAGAACTAATTCTAGAATGCGCCAATTTTATTCAACGACTGTATACCCCAGGAGTAAACCGGTTTACAGAAATTTCTGAATTAAACACCAAAAATCTTCAGCCCACAGTTGTAAGTTTGAAAATGAAGATATCTCAAAGCAACTAGAGGGTCTAGAAATGAATATTTCACCAGATAAAGGTATATATCAATATAAGGGACTATATACCCCTCTGGACGGGTTTAAGTTTGAAATGTGACTGCCCGCTTAGGGAAGTCAGCATCACGACTCGTCCATCGTGTAGGGTTGGCTGTTCACTCCACGACAGCCCACACCCCCACGCCCCCGCACCCAATGATTTTATTGGTTACAAAGCGACTGCCATTTCTGTGTATTAAATGTGACGTGCGTTAAAAAGTAATGTAAATATCGACTTTGAAAGAAAACAGCATAAGCAATTTTTGTAGGCACATCGATTCGACTTGAGTCTTCGGAGTTTGAAACACTTCAGATGTTGCAAGAAGTCTCTCGCAGTGAGATTGGGCCGTCTCTAATCCGGTTTGATTAGAGGGGAATGTCTGTGATGTGAATTGCCAGTAATGTATTTTCGTGTGTTCATTATTTCTCCGATTTGATGGAGTGTGGCGGCACATTTATGATTGGCAGCACATAACAGGTGCACGATGTAGTCGGTATTTAAGTAGCTCATGCATTTTTCTCTCGGCGCTAGGAAAAGCAGAAGGGGATTTGGTATCTGTACTATAAAGCACAAACGCTTTCCTGTACTAAGTGTGTACCTTTTAATTCAACTGTCAACTCATCTCACACCCTTATCACTACACGGGTTAGATTTTCAATTGCTGATATAGCTACAGTGTTTAATTTAACAGTCAAATTGGCGACCAGGTTCATGAGCATTTCTTTTAATTATTGTAACAGTCAATAAAATTAAACTTTCGTTTAAGTTATATCGCTTTGACTATTTCTTTTCTCTCGTGTCTCTTAAAATAATTTTTTTTTTTAATTGAATTTTCCTGTTATCTCGCTTGAAACTTAGATCTAGCAGACATATACGATCATATGTTAAACGGATCTGCGCCCAAAGTTTAAGTTCTAGATCAGGAAGTCATTTTCACTGGATACATAATAATAATAATAATAATAATAAAAATAATTACGCACTTTAAAACTTTGGCCCTTTAAGCCCGCCACCACTGACCCGTAGAACTGGTCTAGGATGCTCTTGTCACCGCACCTCGGGCAGTGACTCACGAGCCATCCCAGTCTGAGAAAAGACGAACAGAGAATCACCAAACGTGCCCTAAAATTGGACACTGACAAGTTGAGGAAACGAAAAACTTAAAGACAGAAGGCTCATATTGTGGCTGCTCCTCCTTTGAGTTTTTAATATATATACGGCAGTGGTGACAGAGAAACCAAGATGAGGTAGAGGGCAGTAGAACATAACCTGTTTTTCGCTATCCTCAGTGAAGCCGGGCTATTGAATCTAATATATAAACATTACTTCACATCTATATTTACTTCACTCACACACATATGTGTGTGAAGCAACGGAATATTTTTCACGCCTCCAGACGTATTGGGCATATGGAGCTAGACATATTTTATAAACCCGAAGGCACTCGATGGGTAATATGGTCAGCATCACACCGATCGAATTTACTACTCAGGACTTTACATGCAACCCATTTAAGAGTGGATCGACCTGGGAGCCAAGGTCATTTTTGGTCGTGGCTTAGAATACGTCACCTCTAATGCTTCATATCACAATGGCATATACAGGAACCTTGGTTATAAGTTAAGGAAATTAACATAATATTTAGGACACCAATTGCGAATGTTTTAAACATATAGTCTTATTGTTTATGCGTGTATGTGGTGTTTATTTATGTATGTCTCCAACTTGCCGTCTGCCTGTTTTCTTGTATCACAATCTGTCTGTTTCTAGTCAATCATCATTTCTGTCGTCTGCATTCATTTTTTTTTTTTAATCTGCTTGCTTGTCTGTAGTCTTTAGGCATTTTGTTGTGTCTCTTCTTATTCTGTAGCCTGCCGACACAGTCTACATTCTGCCGTTGTCGTTGACCGATTATTTTGTCATTTTACATCACCCTGCCTGGCCAGTAAAACTTGCTCGGTGGGCTAGGTTTGACCCGCTGGCCATAGTTTTTGCCCATCCCTGTTCTACACACAGACCCGCTCGTCTGACAGTCGTCAGCCGTTCTCCATCTTCTCCATTGTCCACATGTATCTTTTATCTTTTTTTCCTCCCTCCATTATAGCCTGTTTATATAATGACAGATGATAATAAACTATATTTTCTGTTTCAGCCGAGTGGATAAAATATCATCAGGATGCCACTGGTGAACCCCGGCCCACGCAACAACCCGGGCCTGCCACCCCGACAGGGTCTCTACGACCCATCCCGGGAGTCCGAGGCTTGTGGTGTTGGATATGTGGTCAACATAGATGGAATTCGATCACACCGGGTGAGTGTTCTTGTGTATCCGTCGTCGCCTTCATTTACTAACTGTTTGTTAGTTTTCGTCCCTTCTCTCTGCTGTGGTTTGAGAATCACGAATGAATAAACGAACGAACGAACTTTTCAAAGTGTTACAAATTGGGCACGCAGGCCCGTCTTACATTCGGCCCTTCCAATCACTCATCTTTCAGACCACAGTTGTGTGTTATCACATGACCACTTAGCGCGCCTAATCGTGTCGCATCACTTGCTGAGCTTTGTATTGTCAGATTATCTTATCAGCTCCTTCCATCTTTGACGGTCAAATGCAGTGGACTTCGTGGTTGCATGCCTACGACCTGTCCAGCACGTCAGGTTCTGTATTCAGGTCTTTCTTGGCCTGCCCCTACTCTTCTTCCCCTCTACTGGGCCCTGGAGTGTTATTTTTGAGGGGCCATTAGATCTTAGACAGTGAGCAGGAGGCATATTGAGGCCGTGTACATGCTACAATGCATATTGGGCCCTTGACTTTCGGCCTGTATTTTAATTATTGGAAAGCACACACAGAGTAATATGGTTAGCATAGCCCAGGCATATGTGAAACATGAAGAAATAATCAAACCATTGGAAAAGTTAAACATTGTTGGAAAAGATTTACGAATTTTAAAGAACATTCTTGGCAGCAAACAGCAGTTATAAGGATTCATAACCATTTGGGGACATTTCAGAGCATAAAGAAGTAAGTAAGACAATGATGGGTACTATCACCTGATTTGTTTTCATTATACAGCGAATATATAATGAGATATGTTGTGGATATGCCAGGAGTTGTGGTTAGTTGTCATAACATAAGCAATTTGTGTTATACTGTCGACACCGTCTTGATAGCAAGTCAGAAAGAACTACAGACGGTAATAGATACGGTGGTTGGGGAAAGTGATAAAACGGGCCTCAGTTTGAATAACGGAAAGATAGAAGTAATGGTAATTTCCAAGAAAATAATTGTGCCGAAATGGATAATAAAAATCAAAGGCGTTAATTTAGGACAAGTACATACATTTTAAGAAGCTAGGCACATGGATAACATCTGATGTAAGATGTATCACAGAGATAAAGAACAGAAAAGGGCAAGCTCAAACTGCATTTTATAAAACGAAGAACATTTTGTACAATAAATTCATGTCATTGGAGGTTAGGAAAAGCTTTGTCGCATGTTATATAGAACCAGTTTAAACATACGGCTGTGAATCCTGCAAAATTAATAAACAAGCCAGACAGTATTTTGTGGCCTCGGGGATGTAGGTTTACAAAAGAATCCTCTGAATTCCTTTGAAAACTAAGAAGAGCAATCCAGTTGTGTTGTAAGAGGCGAATTCTCAAAGACAACTTATCACAAATTTCACAGACAGATAGTCATCATTTGTTGATAATGTTATGAGGAGATTGAAACTAGGACATGTGACCACTAGAAGATCTGTGGGAAGAGAGACAGAGGAAGACAGCGTGAGAAGATTCTTGACAGTCTTTTGTCATGTCATGTTCGGGTGTCAGCACACGAACTGATACACGCAGTTGCGACTCGCGTTTGTCCAGAGGCATGGTCACCTACGCCAGTCGGCAGGATACTTGAAGGTGACGATAAGCCTAGGCCTGTTTGACTTTTTCGGATAGCCATTTTATTTGGATGTGTGGACCCCAGAACGAATTTAGTCGAAATGAAGGAATACCATAGGATCGATCAGCTTACCCTGTCACAGTATACCCCCCCCCCCCCTATACACCCCCATTAACCCCCCCCCCCCCCTCTCCATACAATCATTGGTATGGCTGATTGGTAGGAATTGCAATGACGATAATCTGTCGACTAAGTAACTAATGTGTATTTGGCGAATTTTGGTTGACAGCGTTCAGCCTGAATGGCTGGAAAATCTTGCACGTTATAAATCATCAGTCGACATCTTTGTCTTCATGAAGCGTAGAAGACACTTTTATACTCATAAAACACAAAGAGACACTTTTGTCCTCTCTTTTCCTCTTAAAACATACACAATTAATCTTCCTAAAACACAAGGAGGTAAATTTGTTCTCATAAATTAAAATAGCGGCTAGATGCTTGCCCGCGGATCGGAAGGTCGTGGGTTCGCTCTGTGGAGGAGCCAGACTTTTTTCAATAATGACCTTGGCTCCCAGCCTTGAGTTTGTACCAGGTACAGTCCTGGGAAATAAAGGTGGCCGGCGTGATACTGACCACATCACCCATGTTGTGCCGATTGGTTTATAAAATATAGGTTTAACCCCATGCCTAGACGTGGAAATGGGTCCTTTACTTTACTTAATTAAAATAGGAGGTTTTGTTCCATAAAATACAAACAGATATCTTTTTGTTAATGTAAAACATAAATACTTGTACATGCTTTTGTTCTCATAAAGCAACATTTTGGATATTCAAATTACAACAAAACACATGCAGCAGAAACCAACAATTATATCCATTTGGCGAGTTGTTTTGAGTAACTCTCTAATTCTGACTTTAATTATACAAGCCAGGATGTAACGTAAAATATTCATTAAAACCATTCGTTGATTTTAACTAATGCGACAGGGAGAGTTACATAGCCCCCGGGACTCATTAGTCTGGCTTTACTCGCTCGAGCAAACACGTCCGTCCCATCGATGTTGTTTCCAGGCTTGAGCCAGGTATGCCAGATTTAAAAATACTACTGCTGTTACAGAAAACTAGACTGGTATCAGAATCGGATGTCGTTCTAAGACTGGGTCTGAAGGAACAAACGAGCGAACTTTATTTCCAAATGATCACATATTGGGCACACAGGCCCGTCTTACATTAGGGTTTTCCAAAAACCCATCTTTCACACAACATTTGTACATTATTTATATATCATGAGGAAAATAGTACAGGATATTTTAGTAGAGATATGATGGGCGACCACACAAAAAAGATCCCTTTTACATGTTTGGCACAACCGGGCATATAATCCAAGGCATTTTTGTTTTTTAAATTGACCAGCTAGTACTTCATGGGTGATATGGGCAACACCACGCCGGCCACAATTTACTTTCCAGCTACTTACTATAATATACGTATGTGACTGTTAAAGAGGACCATGTCGTAGCGGTTAGACACTGGCTTGTCGGTTCGAATGTCTAGGCTTCAGATCCTCACCGGGATATGTGGGTGTCTATCTATCTATCTATCTATCTATCTATCTATCTATCTATCTATCTATCTATCTATCTATCTATCTATCTATCTATCTATCTATCTATCTATCTATCTATCTATCTATCTATCTATCTGTCTGTCTGTCTGTCTATCTATCTGTCTGTCTGTCTGTCTGTCTGTCTGTCTGTCTGTCTGTCTGTCTGTCTGTCTGTCTGTCTGTCTGTCTGTCTGTCTGTCTGTCTGTCTGTCTGTCTGTCTGTCTGTCTGTCTGTCTGTCTGTCTGTCTGTCTGTCTGTCTGTCTGTCTGTCTGTCTGTCTGTCTGTCTGTCTGTCTGTCTGTCTGTCTGTCTGTCTGTCTGTCTGTCTGTCTGTCTGTCTGTCTGTCTGTCTGTCTGTCTGTCTGTCTGTCTGTCTGTCTGTCTGTCTGTCTGTCTGTCTGTCTGGTCTGGTCTGGTCTGGTCTGGTCTGGTCTGTCTGTCTGTTTATCGATGGGTCTGTCTGTCTGTCTGTCTGTCTGTCTGTCCACCCACCCGCCCACCCACCCACCCACCTACCTACCTACCTACCTCTCTCTCTCTCTCTCTCTCTCATATATATATATATATATATATATATATATATATATATATGAGACAGATATACATATACATATATGCATGCAAACTCCCGCTGCTAATATGAATGGAAGTACAATTATGAGGACCGTCCTGTCAAAATACGTTGGAATAGTTTGATCAATGTTTGAGTTATAAATCCCATGTTGATAACGTGATATTCCAAACTATGCGAGGCTTAACGGCATGACGGGTCATGGCTGCCACGTGAAGCCGACAAGGTCTCCTCGTCATCCTCTATCAATGATTCATCTTCTGTGTTAGAGAAACGTGCGGTGGCAAATCCTGCACATAGTAACACATAAACACAAACAAATAAATCTGCAACAGTGGCCACTCGACTGTTACAAAGATCCACAGATGCAATGGATGCATGTGTTGATAAATGGTGTGTCAGCATCAGCATAAACAAGTGTAGCACCACTCTCTTCACCCTCTCTCCAAAACAAAAATCAGGCGTCACTCAGATAAATAGAATACCACTAAGAGAGGATAAGGAGCCCACATACCTCTTAGTCACGTTTGATGATAGGCTAACATGGAGAAAACACATCTACAAGGCAGCAACCAAAGCCAGAAGGAAGATGGCTTTCATAAGAAAACTAAGTGGAACAACATGGGGCGCAAATGGGAAAATACTTAGGAAAGTTTATCAACAAAGTGTACGACCACACCTTGAACACGGGTCTACAGCATTGAGTCCGGCATTAAAAAAAAACACTACAGATGTTGACAATGTGCAAAATCAGGCGCTCCATGAAGAACAGCCTAATGTACCAGTCTCTTATCAACAGAAGAAGAGAATAATCTAACCAATCAGAAAGCCACCAAAACCAGCACAAGATGATTACCATTTCATAGACAGACCAGAGCAAGTTATTATTCTACGCCATAGAACAGCACACAGTCGACTTCGCAGCCAGGTGTACATAAAATAAAAAATCGGCGAATCAGCCATGTGCACATGGGGACTGGCACCTAATACAACAGATCACGTCCTCCAAGACTGTCCCAAATACAACATATCAAGGCAAAACCTTTGGCCAAGAGAAACATCGGTGCACGTCAAACTATACGGGTCGCTAAGGGAACTGCAAAAGACAGCGAAGTTCACACTAGAGACAGAATTGCAGATATAGATAATCTGTTTTAAGCGAACGAAAGAAGAAGAAGAAGAAAAAGAAGAATTGCAGGGTCCTCGCCGGTGTTACGGAGTTCATGCACTGAACT